TAAATATTATTTAAGAAAATAAATGTGACCACTACATACTATCTATAATCACATTTACGTATCAGAAATTTTAGTTTTGTTATCACTAAATCTTTTGCCTTATCAAGTTTAAGTATTCCTTTATAATTATATTCTCCAACATAAATGCAATCAACTGGTAAATTTATAAATATATATGCATATCTATTTGGTAAAATCATATATCTATATATGTGAAATATATAAAATATTCACATGTTATACATATATTCACCTGATCTCCTGGTTTCCTATATGTACATTAAGTTGTTAACTGCATACAGCCAGGCTCTTAATAATACCACACTTTTAATGAATTCAGTTAAGCGAGTTTGCTCACATGCAAACTTAATGTCTTTTGGATGTGAGATGTCTCTCCTTTGTTTTATTATCCAAATTTTTTATTAATATATGTGTTAAAATCTGTTTAATAGGGTCCTTGTTGGGAAGATTATTTCAGAATGTGTACTACATTATTCTGAACTTTTATACTTTTCCATTCAAACACATTGGATAAATGACTCAAGAATGACGAGGATAAAAAAATAAGACAATTATATAAGAGAAAATCAAATAACTGGGGATAAAGGTAATAAGTGAAAAACTGACTTCTATTAAAAAATCACTTGGTTTCTAGCCAGGAGCCCCCACCATATTCTTTCCTAACTTCTCATCAGATTTTATATAGAGATGATATACAAAATGAAAATCCATCACCAGCCTGAACTAAAACTAGTTAGAAATGTATCATCAAAGTTCAGCAGATTATAGTACACAGACTACCTGTATTAAACACTATGTGAAATGGTCTGTCAGACTAAGAAGTATGGGCGCCTGGCTGTCTCAGTTGGTTTAGCATCTGCCTTTGGCTTAGGTTGTGATCTTGGGGTCCCAGGATTGAGCCCGGAATCTGGAGTCCCTAGCTCCCTGCTCAGCATCGAGTCTGCTTCTCATTCACCATGTCCCCCCGGCTCATACGTGCTCTCTCTCTCAAATAAATAAATAAAATCTTTTTTTTTTTTTTTTTTTAAAGAAACTAGAAAGTAGTCCATTCCACATCCCCCACCTACCACCTGGTTCAGAAACACAAGTCTTAATGGAATCACATAGCTCCGAAATTGTTTCCTAGACGAAATGGCCCTTGGCCACCAGAAAGCCATCTTCCTTATCTCCTCACATGTGTAGCTCAGACAGTCAGATCAATACCCGGAAAATTGTAGGAAAGAATGTGTATGGGTCCATTTAGGACTGCAGATGTATCACAATCTGTGTAGTATAATTTTTACAATTGCCACAAGCCAGAAAGGAAGCATAATAAGAGTTTTGGCAGAGATTAGTGACATTAATTATTGATTTATTTGTATGTTCAGAGTTAAGCAGTAGAAGTCTATATTTCAAACCAAGAGAATTACATTAGGTCAAAGACTGCAACAGGAACTTGGAACGGGCATAAAGTCATTAAATATCTGCCTGTCATCTCTCTAGATCTAATAAAGAGATCTGATCAGTACTTACTAATCAGAATTGTGCCAAGAGCAATAATCAAAGCCTGTTTATAGGCAAAATGATGCAGAGGGTTATCTTACTGAACGATGAAGAAACACCAAAAAAACCTACCATTTTAAGGCTTACTAAAAATGAATACAGATTGAGAAAAAAGTCATGTCACATATACTAACCAGAAACAGATAACTAAAAATAATTTACCACAAAAACAAAAAGAAACTGTCTTAAAAAATTAAAATTAACCCGGGCGCCTGGGTGGCTCAGTGGGTTAAAGCCTCTTGTCTTCGGCTCAGGTCGTGATCCCAGGATCCTGGGATAGAATCCCATATCGGACTCTCTGCTTAGCAGGAAGTCTGCTTCCCCCACTCTCTCTCTGCCTGCCTCTCTGCCTACTTGTCATCTGTCAAATAAATAAAATAAAATCTTTAAAAAATTTTTAAAATAACCTAAAAATAATTTACTACAAAAAATAGCAAATAAAAGACATGTGAAGGCATCACCTTTGAAGAAAATCCCAAGTTGGAAACGAGAGAAAAAGTCAAATAGGTGAAATGAAAAGATAAGAACAGCAAAGAAATTACAAACCTCAAAATCAAAAATATAAAAATTTCTTTTCAACACAAATCAGGAGTAAATTGTAACTAACATTTAGTAATTGAATCTTGACTGAAAGAAAGATTCATTTTTGATGATTTTCTCCAGAAAATGATCAGAGTGTCCTTGGTATGGTAATAACTACAAAACAAAAACAAAAAAACCTTAAAATCATCATCCTCATCAGTAATATTACTAAAAAACTTTCTTACAATTCCTGACTGTATCAACTAAAAAGGATTGTTCAAAAAGGATTGTTCAGAAAAATAATAAAAGAACAATATCTTATCATACCTCAATGTTTTCAAAAGCCATTATTACAAAGATAAATGCCTTTAGTGTCTGGGCATTAGAAAAAGAAAATCAGGGGCGCCTGGGTGGCTCAGTTGGTTAAGGGACTGCCTTCGGCTCGGGATCCTGGAGTCCCGGGATCGAGTCCCAAATTGGTCTGCCTGCTAGGCAGGGAGTCTGCTTCTCCCTCTGACCCTTCCCCTTCTCATGCTCTCTCTCTCTCTCTCAAATAAATAAAATCTTAAAAAAAAAAAAAAGAAAAAAGAAAGAAAGAAAAAGAAAATCATCAACTGGCTCATAAAGAAAAGAAAAAAAAACTCAGCTGGCATCAGACTGCTGATTATCACTCCATGTTGGGAAGTAGCAAAGCATCTGCAACAGATTCATGGAGGAAGACTGTTAGTGTACCAGTAAGTTTTCCATTGAGTGACATTCTCTTTCAAGTATGAAACCAATAGAAGTGAATTTCCCAAATGGCAAAAATGTGCCCTGTGTGAAATAAATTCTCAAAGAAGTGAATTAACGTGATACATATGATAATAATACTGGAGAAACTATGAAATAAAATTTATCGCAGAAATTCCTCTTTTACTCCATTACTTAATCATGTCTTTAATATCCAAGCCAAAATGTTTAGAATATTTGACATTATGCTTATAAAAGACCCCTGTTCTCCTTATCTGCCATCAAAGTAAATGCGCTTTCAAAGGTAAGTTATGCCCATTATCTACATGTGACCAAGCAGACACATCTCTGGAAACAACATGCAGAATTTTCCTTTTTGTCAGTACACTGCTTAACATGCTGTTACAGTCTGTATTAGTCAGAGTTCTCCAGGAAAACAGAACCAATAGGATTTATAGAGAGAGAGACTTATTTTAAGGAATTGAATCACATGATTTGGGAGGCTGGCAAGTCTGAAGGTTGCTGCACATGCTGGAAATTCTGCCAGCAGTTGGTACTGCAGTCTTGAGTCCAAGGCAGTCTGGAAGTTAAAATTCCTCCTCCCTTTTGGGAGTCCCTCGGTCTTTTATGTTAAAGCCTTCCAAAGACTGGATGAGACCTACCCATGTCATGGAGATTAATCAAATTTACTCAAAGTCTACTTATTTATATGTTAATCATGTCTAAAAAGTACTTTCACAGCAACCTCTAAACTAGTGTTAGAACAAAAAATAGGTACCACAGGCTAGCCAAGATGACACATAAAACTAGCTATCATGTAATTAAGTGATTCATATGGTCAATGTAAGCTTGATAAAAGCAAACCCTGAGCTGGTTTGTTTTTAACACTCTTTACCCCAAAATTTACATATCTCACATAATATGCTATAAATACATATGTGTTGGTTGACTGAATAGACAGAGGTTAACTAAATGTTTGTCAGAGTATTTTCATTATGCTGTAATAAATTCATGGTAGACAAATGAGGATGAGTCTCTGAATGTAATTACATTTTCAATGCAAAAATTTAAACTAGACAAAATTTTAAAATCAAGCCTCCAGCTTTGCCCCTGTACGCAACAGAAGTCATATGAAGTGGGGTTTATTTTATATAAAGAAAATATACTCGCACACACACAACACACACACAATTTCCCTACATTTCAATTTGTGATCATTCTCAAACATTCATCTTGAGCTATTGGCATTCTTCGGTATGTTCCATTTTGATGGTAGTCTTGGAAACAAGTTTATTTTTGGTTTCCATGAATTAAATTGAAGGAATAATGAAACTTGTGTAATATTTATCCCACAACTGTATTGAGTGCAGGAAGAACAGGAACTGGTTTAAGAAAGAAAGCTTTGTGGTTTTTTTTGTTTTTTTTTTTTTTTTAAGATTTTATCTATTTATTTGACAGAGAGAGATCACAAGTAGGCAGAGCAGCCGGCAGAGAGAGAAGGGGAAGGAGACTCCCTGCTGAGCAGAGAGCCCTACATGGGACTCAATCCCAGGACCTTGAGATTATGACCCGAGCCAAAGGGAGATGCTTAACCCACTGAGCCACTCAGGCGTCCCTTTTGTTTTTTTTTAAAGTAGGCTCCATGCACAGCATGGAGCCCAGTGCATAGCTAAAACTCACAACATGAGATCCAGAACTGAGTCAAGATCAAGAGTTGGACCCTCTATCAAACTGAGGCACCCAGGTGCCCAAGAGAAAGGAAAAATACTGATGTGAATGTGGATACCTAGAATGTCTAGGAGCTTGACTGCTGGATCACATGGGAAGAGTATGCTCAACTTTATAAGAAACTGCCAAACTCTTCTAAAACAATGTATGATTTTACATCCGCACCAAAAATGAATAAGGGCTACCACTATTCTGTGATCTCTTTGGCAATTGATACCACAGTTTTTAGGATTTTAGCCATTCTAATAATTAGGTAGTGGTATCTCATTTTAATTTGCATCTCCCTAATTGCAAATGATGTTGAAAATCTTCTCTTATTCTTATTTTCCTATCTTCTTCAGTGAAGCATATATTCAGATATTTGCCCATTTTTTAACTGAGTTTTGTTTTCTTATTGTTCAGTTTTAAGAATGGTTCGTACAGTTTGGGCACAAGTCCTTTATTGGGCAAATGCTTTGCAAATACTCTCTCCCATTCTGTGGCTTCTCTTTTCATTCTCTTGCCTTACTAGAGAAGTTTTTTGTTTTTTGTTTTTCTAATTATTTATTTGACAGACAGAGATCACAAGTAGGCAGAGAGGCAGGCAGAGAGAGGAGGAAGCAGGCTCCACACTGAGCAGGGAGCCCTGATGCAGGGCTCGATCCCAGGACCCTGGGATCATGACCTGAGCCGAAGGCAGAGGCTTTAACCCATTGAGCCACCCAGGCGCCCCTGTAGAGAAGTTTTTAATAAGGTCTCATTTATTAACTTTTAGGCACTGTATTTTCATGACAGATTTTAAAATTCAAGACCAAACCCAAGATCATACAGATTTTCTCTCTCTTTTTTTTTATAGAAAGTCTATAGTTTTGCGTTTTACATTTAGATCTAGGATCCATTTTGAGTTCATTTTTGTGAACGGCATAAGCTCTGTGTCTAGGACTTTTCTTGCATATGATTTCCAATTGTTCTACCACTATATGTTGGAAATACAATCCTGTATCTATAGCATTGCCTGTGTGCCTTTGTCAAAAATCAGTTCACTGTGTGTGTGTGTGGCTCTATTTCACGGTTCTCTATTCTGTTCATCCATGCATGTATACTTTCACCACTAAAATGGTATCTTGATTACAGTAGTTTTATAGTTAGACTTCAAATCTTCAAATCTTCCAGCTTTCTTCTTCTAATCAGTAATATACTAAGTAAGTCCTTTTTTAGAGTAACTTATTGATATCTATGAAGGGTCGGAGATTTTGATTAGAATTGCACTGATGCCTGATGCCATTGATTGAGTCAGAAAAATTGATTCCTTAACAATACTTGCAATATATGAACTTAGAACATATCCCATTTACATCTCACTTATTTCATCACTTTTACTGTTGTTGTTTCTGTATACAGATCCTGCACATATTTTGTTACATTTACAGCTTAATATTTCAGTTTGTGCTGTTACTATAAATGATACATAGCTTTTAATTTCAAAGCCAACTTGCATACGGATTGCTGGTAAATAGGAAAGTGATTGGCTTTTGTATATTGATCTTCTATCCTGTGATCCTAACAGTCATTGTTTCCAGGAGTTTTATTATACAATCTTTGGAATTTTCTACATAACCAATGATGTCATCAATTAACTAAGACAATTTTCTTTTTTCCAATCTGTTTACCTTTTGTTTTTCTTGTTTTATCGTGCTAGTTAGAACACGCAGTACAATGTTGAATACAAGTGCTAAAAGATAATTTCTGTGCCTTTTTCCCTGTCTTAGATGGAAATGTCTAGTCTTTCACTATCAAAAATGATGTTAACTGTAGATGACTTTACAAATATCCTTTATGAAGTTGAGAAAGTTCTCATCTATTTCAAGTATGTATATAATTTTTATCATAAATATGTGCTACATATTTTTTTTGTCACGTTTTTTTGCCTGCATCAACTGGAATGATCCTATGACTTTTCTTCTCTAGATATGGTATATCACAGTAATTGATTTCAAATGCTGAACCAGCCTTGCATATCCAGAATGAATCCCACCTGGGGTATATAATTCTCCTACATTATTGGATTCAGTACGATTTTTTTGTGTGTGTGATTTTGCATCTATGTTCATGAGGAATATTGGACTGTAGTTTTCTTGGAATTCTTTATTTGGTTTTCGTTTAGGAAGTATTTCCTCTATTTTCTGGAAACGACTGTAGAAAATTCATATTTTTTTGATAAATGGTAGAATTTATAAGTGAAATCACCTTTGTTTTATGAAATGATACTAATTAGTGGTTCAATTTCTTAAATAGATGCAGCATATTGAGGCTATCTATTTCTTTTTGTGTGAGTTTGGTAGTTTGTCTTTAAAGGAATTGTTCTATTTCATATAGGATATAAATTTGGATATAGTTGTTCATAATATTCCTTTATTATCCTTTTAACATCCATGGTTTGCAGTGATGGGCCCTCTTTCACTTCACTTTTTTTTCCCCCCCTTTGGTTAACCTACCAAGTGCATGATAGATTTTTTTTTACTTTTCAACAGAATATCTTTTGGTTTCTTTATGTATCTCTGTTTTCCTGTTATTGATTTCCTGTTTTCAGTTTTATTGATTTCCTCCATAATTTTTACTATTTCTTTTCACTACCTGCTTTAGGCTTAATTTTCCCTACTTCATTAGAATTCTTAAAAAAATCTTTATAGATTTGGATTATTAAGATATTGTAGGGAGGGGCACCTGGGTGACTCAGTGTTAAGCGTCTCTGCCTTTGGCTCAGGTCATGTTCCCAGGGCCCTAGGATACAGCTCTACATCGGGCTCTCCGTTTGGCGGGAAGCCTGCTTCTCCCTCTCCTACTCCCCTACTTGTGTTCCCTTTCTCACTGTCTCTCTCTGGGGCAAATAAATAAATAAAAATCTTTTTTTTTTTAAAGTTACTATAGGGAATAAAGATTATTTATGATTATGGAAGAGCTAATTTTCTCTCTTGATGGAAATTGTGTGATTTTTAAACTACTGAATTTCAAATTTTTCTAAGACTTCTATTTTGAAATTTTAATTAATGCTATCAAATTCTTTTGGATACTTGATCTTTTTTCCCTCAGCATCTATAAAGCATTCTATACCCCTCTTCAAAAAGTTAAGATGAACATTTCCTTCCCATTGAATATGTATTGCTAAATAAATAATTCTATCATTTCTTGACTGATCTACTTGTATATATTTGTCTCATTATTCAACTCTGTCTTCAACATTGCTGCCAAAGTTAGGTCTACAATGAATTTTTTATTGTGGAATGTCTTTCTAATCTCTGGTCTCTGCTACACGGAGATTAATATCAAGTATCTTGTTATTATATTGACATGTTATTATGACATTTCTTTTTAATATGTACCAACTACTCCAGTGTTGCCTCCCACTGTTGTGCATCATATACTGTTCAGCTATAATGAATGAATCACAATGTATACACTTGACTTTCACTTTTTTGACATTTCACATGTAAGATCTGAGGTATAGATATCTCTTCTACCCTCTCCTCATCAGCCAGTTGAATTTCATCACTGAAGAATCACCTCAAATGTCCCCTTATTTGTAAAGTACTCCCTTATCACTTTCTTCTTTGGGAAAAGTACTCCCTTTTCCTGATATCCAAAATACTTGTGAAAAATGTTTATATCTCATAGGAAAGCACGCTCTTGTTTTGTTTCTCCTCCTTAAAGTGATGACTTCATTTCTAAAGTATGAAGACTATGTGGCTAGTGATCATGGTACATATAATCACCTGTATTTAAAGTGGAATATTCCCTGAGTATTCATTCTTTCAACAGAGGTATTACTGCAATTTAGAAAGGCCTAATACAAATGATGACACAGTTTTATTACATGGGATATAATTAAAAGCTCTAGAAAGGTTCTACTTTCCCTGAATCCTTCTAAATTCCTGATCAGAGTGAATGGAAAATCTATGTAAGTCACAAAACTATCTTTCAAGGATGGTACAGTAGTTCAAATTACATGGAAAGAGGGACTGCATTGACTTAATTGTGCATTAACTGGAAATTACCACTATAGATTCTCTGAGATAGGATACAGGGAAGAGAAGTAAAAACAAGAACTCCTGCAAGTAAGTACGCGTATGGGGCACCAAGTATTTGTAGGTGATAAATGAAATAGTGAATCAGGGAGACAAAAGTTTACATGGTAATTTCATTGGTTATATCAGAAGAACCAAGGCTGAGAAAGAAGAAAGAATAATAGATTTTTTTTTCTAATGGATTCTGATTCTTTTTTCTTTTAAGTACACATATGGATACAAAAAAAGAGAAAACTTGGCCTAATATCATCAGTAGTCTCATTTCAAAGTATAAGAAAAATGTTCAAAGCATTTAGTTGTTTTCCTTTTTTTAATAATAATGAAGTTAACTCTTTTATTCAAATGAATTCTACACTTGACAATACAGCTCCTATTTCTAGTTATAAAACAAATGCAGAATTAGTGTGTGGTCATTTGTACCTCATTAGATTAGTCACTAATGCCTGTCCTTTAAATTAAAAGCCATATAATTACTGTTACCATTTAATGAAGTCACATAATATGTTAGTCATTCAATTAATATGCTTTCTGTTAAAATCACTAGGGGTTCAACATAAGGCATTCTGTCTCATTTATCGGAGAGAACACATGGTTTTAAATGGACAACTGTGGAGGTATGTAACTCAATGACCCTCTGTGTGGTCAATGAATTATTCATTGCAGTGGAAAAGATTACTTTAAATGGATATTAAATCCCATGGAAGGGAGTAAGGCTTTCAAAATACTTCACAGATGAAATAAGACTTCCTATCATGTCACTGGGAGTGGCTGATTTACCAAGTGGCCTAAGAGATAAAAGTTGTCTCCATTAATTCAAGAACTCACTATAATGTAATTTCTGAAAGAAAAAATAATCTTCTTCCTGTTTTTGTATGTTTCTCATTACTCCCATCTAAACTCAGTTTCCTACATTTACAACATAAACCACACATTCTACAGATATTAATAAAAAACCCCTTCTTCATTCCTTTGTATTTTTATTACTTGATAAAACACTATCTTCCTTCAAAACATAGGTCACCCATTGCCTTCATGATAAAGATTTCCCCATGAATACAATCAGTTTCCTATCTTGTATATATAGATATGTTTTACATGTCTTAATGCACGACACATTGTAAGGGATAAATAAATGGTTGATAAAGGATTTCATCTACATTTTCTGCCAACTGCATACTTGTCATCTAAGGCATCACTTCTTTTTTTGTCTGCTCTGTGTGTCCACCCATTACAGTTCTATTAAATATACGAAGTTCTCTCTAATCATTAAGTCTTATAAGAGGTAGGATGATCTAAAGAAAGCAAATGGTTTTTGAAACAAAACAGCAGACTGAATAATTTGACTCTATCCCACTTAATTCAGGAATCAGGGTTCCTTAGATTTTCTATCATTTATTGACCAATTGATAGATCTATCTAACTAGATATCCATATCTATCTATTACCTATCTATCCATATCACTAGAATAGGCTTATAAGAATTCAGTATTTTAACTTTACCTTAGAATTACAACTCTCTTTCTGCAGAAATTAGGCTGAAAAAGCTACACATCCCCCAAGAATGGTAATTTTCCAGTAATTCAGTAATTTTAAATCATCTTCCATCACAAAGGAATAGAATGTAAAAGCAAGGATCTTTCAGAATGTGAAGTCAGAAGCATCAGATAATGAATTAATGAAAACTCCCTTTCAGAAAACACAAATACAATCTAATCAAGGAAACTTCTTACCTAAGGTAAGGCTCACAAACTGCCCACTAAAAATCAAGAATTACTAAGGAGCAGTTACCAACTTATATCTCCTATTCCTTTTTATAGGAATGCATGCTGGAGTCACCTATGCCTATTTTCACCATTGTGTATCATGTATCTGGGGAGGAGATCATATACCTTCAAAGAATTTAAGTCTCTGGATCAAAAGGAGCCACACTTAAAACTGATATGAAGACTACATCATGTCTACACTAGATGGAATATTTATTTGCTGTTTTGAGGAAAGGATGAGCACATTTGCTTACAAGAAGAATAGACTTAGGTGATTTCTAAACTGACCCTTGGAGTTAATGTATAATCATGCGATTTTCTTGGGTTGATAAAATGTGAACAAACATATGGGATTATGCGGTATTCCTGTTTTTAATTTTTTGAGAGCTACCATACTGTTTTCCGTCAATAGTGAACAGGAAGTCCCTTTTTCTCCACATCCAAGCCAACACTTATTTTATCTTGTCTTCTGATTCTAGATATTCTGACAGGTATAAGGTAATATCTCATTGTGGTTTGGATTTGCATTTCCCTGATTAGTAAGGTGAAGCATCTTTTCATGCATCTGTTGGCTATCTCTATGTCTTCTTTGGAAAAATGCCTATTCAGCTTATCTGCCCATTCTTTAATTGAATTATTTGCGGTTTTTTGGTGTTGAGTTATAGTTCCTTAGATATTTTGCATATTAACTTCCTATGAGATAAATCATTTGCAAATACCTTTTCCCATCCAGGAGGCTACCTTTTTTGTTTTAAATGATAGTTTCCCTCATTGTGCAAAGGTTTTTTATTTTGATGTGGCCCCAACAGTTTATTTTTGCTTTTATTTTCCCTTGCCTTAGGAGACATCTAGAAAAAAATGTACTTATCCAAAGAAGGCAAAAACATTAATTCTAAAAGATAAATGCACCTCTATGTTTATAGGAGGATTACTTACAATAGTAAAGATACAGAAGCAGCCCAAGTGTGCACCGGCAGATAAAGGGATAAAGAAGATATATTCTGATTGATATATATATATATATATATATATATATATATATAGCCATTTATGACAACATGGATGTACCTAGAGGGTATTATACTAAGTGAAATAAGTCGGAATATGATTTCACTTATATGTAGAATCTAAAAAACATAAATTAAAAACAGAGAACTGATGACTGCCAAAGGGGAGAGAAGTAGGAAGATGGGTAAAATGCGTAAAGGGGAGTGGGAGATACAAGCTTCCAGTTATTGAATGAATTAAGTCATGGAAATAATAGGTACAGCATAGGGAATACAGACAATGGTATTATAACAGCCCTGCATGGTAACAGATGGTAGCTACACTTATGGTGAGCACAACATGTAGAGTTCTTGAATTACTATGCTGTACATCTGAAACTAATGTAACATTGTGTATCGACTATATCATCTATCTATCATGTCTGCTGATAGATATCTGTAGACATAAAGATAGATTGGATAGATATAAACAAATGTATTATGTTACTCCATGCAAATGCTTTAAAAGTTGGGGTGCTATGTGTCTCACTCTCACTCTTGTGCTTACATTCTCTGTCTACTGCTATGGTAATTACAGAAGCACAAGTCAAGAGGAAATCCAAGTAGGCTGAATCCTTAATGGAGTAAAATGAACAGAGCTAGAGGGCCAACTGCTATTCAACTTGTGGTTTGAGTGGGAAATACATTCTGTAGTATCGTGGCAGTAATATTTTGTGGTCATTTGCAACATAAGTTGGCTTACTGAGACAACCTCATATACTTTTACAACTTGATCCTACCTATCTCCCATCCTGTTTTCTTTTCTCTTTAGCACTTAACAACTTTATAACATATGAAGGATTTATTTTTAATTAAAGTTTGCTTATTTGCTTCCCATTCTCCCTCTAACACAGCAAGAAGAAATTGAACCAGAGGGTACACAGGCTATAAGGAAGTAATGACATATAGGAAAATATATAAAATATACCAGGAATCTGCATAACTACTGACTAAAACTTATTTTCACTTATTTTTTTATTTTTTCCTCCGAAGAAAATAAAACTAAAGTTCAAGGCCAGTGGTGTCTAATAGACACACTGACAGATGCTAGACACATGTGACAATTTCGATTTAATTACAACTAAATAAGATTAAATTAAAATTCACTGCCTCAGTACCACCACATTTCAAGTATTCAAGAGCCACATGGAGTCAGTCAGTGTCAACTCTATCAGCCAGACTGAAGATACAGACTATCTCCATCAGTGTAGGGCATTCTATTAGACAACAAGTTCATGGTAACAATAGAAGAGAGGAGATAATGCTTGGTCAGGAGTTGAAGCAACTTCATCATAAGGGGGGTGGGGTGTTGTAAGTACTAAATACATTATATTTCTACAAAATAAAATAGTTACTATAAAAATTGAGTACTGACTACCAAAAGAACAGAAATTACTTCCAAAGTGACAAATCCTCTTAAAATCAGAAATTTTAGAGAGATAGCATAAAACAGTGCTTAAAACCATAAACTCTACAGTTATGAGTCTAGATACCAGCCCAATAATCTTTGGAAATTATCTTTCTATGCCTTGACTTTTTGTATGTAAACTGTGATGACAATAGTACCTATATCATAGGTTCCTGTGAGGATTAAATGAATAACTATATGCAAACTCTTAAAACTGAGAACACCTTGATATCTGAAGAAGACTGAAAGTTGTATATATCATTGCGATGGGATTACTAGATTTTTGATAGCATTAAATGGTTAATTTACTTTCCTCTGACTTTCTCCAAGCAACCTTCTTACAATATGTGAATGGTGAGTTGGTGTGATTACTCATGGCCCCAGATGAAGAGAGGCCCCTGTATTTATGAGGTCAGCAGATGATTAGGTGCATTGGGCATATCTAAGTGAAGAATAAAGAAGATTTAGCAAGCAACATTGCAGTATTACCCACAGGAAGAGTGAAACAGAGACATACTAAGAATTTTGTTCAATCTTCACAGTTTTCCAGACTACCATAAACTGAAAATACCACTCAATATATCTTTTGAGCCAGTCAAATGATTTTATGAA